TTCGTGACTTTTACCGACGACTTGAGTAGATATGGATATATCTATTTGATGAGGCACAAGTCAGAGACTTTTGAAAAGTTCAAAGAGTTTCAGAACGAGGTTGAGAATCAGCTCGGCAAGACTATAAAACTTCTACGATCTGATCGTGGAGGTGAGTACATGAGCCAGGAGTTTGATGATCATCTGAAAAGTCGAGGTATAGTACCTTAGCTCACACCTCCGGGTACGCCACAGAGAAACGGCGTGTCAAAACGGAGGAATAGGACCTTGTTGGACATGGTCTGGTCTATGATGAGCAAATCAGATTTACCCTTGTCATTCTGGGGATACTCTCTAGAAACTGTAGCTTTCACACTTAATAGGGTACCATCAAAATCCGTAGACAAGACACCACATGAGATGTGGACCGGGAAGAGTCCCAGTTTGTCTTTTCTAAAGATTTGGGGTTGTGAAGCATTTGTCAAGCGACTTATGTCAGACAAGCTTACACCTAAATTGGATAAATGCATATTCATGGGATATCCGAGGGAAACCTTGGGATATAGCTTCTACAACCGGGAACAGAACAAGGTGTTTGTTGCTCGAAACGAGGTTTTACTTGAGAAAGAGTTTCTTAGTCGGGAGGCCAGTGGGAGGACGGTTCGACTCGAAGAAATTCGAGGACCACTCAGGGACGGCTCAGCTAGTGATGAGATCATACCGGAGTCAGTCAGGGAACCCATAGTGGAAGCGGCACCGGAACCACGAAGGTCGGAAAGATTATGCAGAGTGCGTGATGTATTGTTGCTAGAAAGCGACGAGCCGGCCACATATGCGGAAGCGATGGTGAGCCCAGATTCCGAGGCATGGCTGGAGGCCATGAGATTCGAGTTAAAGTCCATGGATGAGAATCAAGTCTGGAACTTGGTTGATCCGCCACCTGGCGTAACTGCCATTGGTTGCAAATGGGTCTTTAAGAAGAAAACCGATGTGGATGGAAATGTTCAGATCCACAAAGCTCGGCTTGTCGCTAAAGGTTATGGAAAAGTTCAAGGAATTGACTACGACGAGACTTACTCGCCGGTAGCGATGCTGAAATCGGTGAGGATCATACTAGCTATAGCTGCATATTTCGATTACGAGATATGGTAGATGGATGTCAAAACGGCTTTCCTTCACGGAAATTTAACCGAGGACGTGTATATGATACAGCCCGAGGGTTTTGTCGATCCGACTAGCACTAGTAAGGTATGCAAGCTCAAGAGATCCATTTATGGGTTGAAGCAAGCATCTCGGAGTTGGAACATTCGTTTTGATGAGGTCGTCACTGGTCTCGGTTTCATCAAAAGCAAAGAGGACTCTTGTTTATACAAGAAGTTAAGTGGGAGCTCGATAGTGTTTTTGATCTTCTATGTGGATGACATACTACTGATCGGAAATGATGTTTCGATGTTGAACTCGGTCAAGGGATCATTGAATGGCAAGTTTTCGATGAAAGACCTTAGTGAGGCAGTGTATATTTTAGGCATTAAGATCTATAGAGATAGATCGATGAGGCTACTCGGCTTAAGCCAGAGCATGTACATAGATAAAGTGTTGAAGCGGTTCAACATGAGTGAGGCGAAGAAAGGGTTCTTGCCACTCTCACATGGTATAAGGCTAAGCGAGACTCGGAGTCCTTCGACATCTGATGAGCGAAGCAGGATGAGTAGGATTCCGTATGCCTCAGCAATCGGATCCATCATGTATGCCATGATATGTACAAGGCCTGATGTTGCTTTTGCAATAATCCTAACAAGTAGATACCAAGCCAACCCAGGTGAGAGTCACTGGGTAGCGGAAAAGACTATTTTGAAGTACCTGAAAAGGACTAAAGAGATGTTCCTAGTTTATGGAGGTGAGGAAGAGCTCATCGTAAGGGATTACGCCGATGCTAGTTTCCAAACTGACAGAGATGATTGTCGATCACAGTCCGGATTCGTGTACATCCTAAATGGAGGAGCAGTGCACTGGATGAGTTCCAAGCAGGATACGGTGGCCGGTTCTACCACAGAAGCCGAATACATTGCGGCTTGTGAAGCTGCAAAGGAAGGTGTTTGGATCCGGCACTTTCTGGATGATCTTGGTATTTTCCCAGTCTTGGTGAAACCGTTGGACCTTTATTGTGATAATTCTGGTGCCATCGCACAAGCCAAGGAGCCGAGGAATCACCACAAGGTCAGACACATAGATCGGAAATATCACCTGATACGAAAGATCGTAAAGAATGGTGATGTAGAGTTATTCAAGATTCACACGGATGCAAATGTTGCAGATCCATTGACTAAGCCGCTTCCACAACCCAAGCATGAGGGGCACGTTAGAGCTATGGGCATTCGATGTCTATTTGATTGACTCTAGTGCAAGTGGGAGACTGTTGGAGATATGCCCTAGAGGCAATCATGTATGATGATATTCCCTATGTGTTTATGAATAAAGATAGTCCTTGGACATTATCAATCATGTGTATCAGCAAGTATGTGACTTATTTGTGGGACTATGCATTGTATGATGACTGTCCTAAAAGGTCCCTAGTCGAAAGGGTTGTGTGGACGCAGAGCCAACTAGACTAGCATATGACACGATCGATGGCTCGGTCTCACTAGCCATGGAGCATTGGATGCTAACTGGATAATATGGACTTGGAAAGGTCTGGTCGGATTCAACATAGTCGGATCTGAGTCGAGATAAGGTTCAAGTTGGACAGACCAAACTATGAGACGCAGCGATATGTCATCTGTGAGTCTCTAGTACAACATACGTTCTATGTCCTAAGACCTGAGTTGACGCATGTACTTGGGATGGTGACAGACTTGCTTTGGGCCGACCAAACGCTACTCCGTGACTGGGTAGTTACAAAGGTAGGTTTCGGGTTTGTCCACTCCCATGCTGCGAGACATGGTCGAGCAAGATGGGATTTGCCCCTCTGACCAGGAGAGATATACTTTGGGCCCCTCATGTGATCCGACCAGGATAAGCATGGCCATGCAACAGGGATTATGAGATAATCCGGTTTGTGGTTGGTATCACTGGAACAAGAAAGAGGTCGGGATAACACAAGGATGACAGTCTCGCCTTGAGCCCGACAACATATATCGTGAGGCAAAGGGAACAGAAGTGTGACAAGTTGTCCAGGTTCACCTAACCAGCTTCATAGTCTGCTTGGTGGTCGGCATGCCTTGCTAGAGGCCGCTACCAACCGTGCAGGTCGGAGGTGATCCGAACTGTGACCAAGCCAACTTGAACCTAACGGGTCGCGCGCTTAAGGGAAGGAACCTATGAGGTCGGATCCGAGGACACTGATCGGATGTGGTCCGAGCTGTATTCGGATTGTGGCCAAGTAGACTTTGGGCTTTAGGGTCCGTGCGAGGCCCAAGTGTTGAGCCCGCGACGGATGCCTATATAAAGTGGAGGTGCGGCACACTCATGTAGTTGATCGCTTCGGCACTGCGACTAGGGTTTGCATGTGTTGCTAATAGCCACCTCCACTCGCCGCTGACTGTGTGATCGAACCTAGCAGTCCGCCGCACAGTGTTCCTCCTGCACGCACGGATACCGTTAGAGTTGGTGCGCTTGAGCCGCTCCGGCGAACTTGTACGTGGGATCGGACGACCGGTTGTTCGAGGGAGATTGGATGAGGAGGAGACGATCCACGCGGACGCGCTGCCTCAACTCTTCCTCCGTTGCACGGCACTGCTCGTCTAGTGGTAATGAACTGTGATCCATCTCCCGTGGAATGTTCTTGGTTGTTCTGCACGTAGGAAATTTTAATTTGCAGTCGACGCACCCTACCATAGAGCCCAACAAGTAGCTCCTTGCATCAAAGAGAGAGAAGACGCTATGATGCATGGCTCTGTCGGCCACTCAAGTTTGGAGAATATGAAGAGAATGTCAAAATCCCTCAATGCATATCGATCCCTTGATCGAGTGGAACTAGAAAAAAAATGAATAGGAAGTGCAATAGTGGAGGAGATAAAGGATATTGTTGAAAATATGCCGCTCTACGCAAAATTAGTGAAAAATAATAATGACATGGCTTCACCAAATTTCTAAAAGAAGGAGACCGTAAGCATATGCACAAGTGGAATACTAACTCCTAAATGTTTTTTTGGTAAGAAACAAGTATACACTTTATGTAGTTCATTCAACAGCATTTTCACAACTTCATCATGTGTTTGAACTATATTTTTCATGTGTTTCAACTACATATATCACTCGTTCAACCACAATATTTCAACTGCATCGCATGTTTCAGTTGCACTTTTAAAACTGCATTGCCTAATGCTACACTATATGAATTGCGATGTTTGCAACACATCTATATATTTTTCAACTGCACTTATTCAACTCTATCAACTGAAGCTCAAGTGTATCTCAACTAGTACAACAAAGTAACCGCCTACTTAGCCATTCCTTTTTCGTTTTAGTTAATTTGCTGGCCACCCTTTTCCCTCCTCTAGTGGTTTCCTCTTCCTACTGACCCATTCGTATCGTCGGCAGGACCGCCGCCTCCACCCTAACTGACAACGCTGCCACACGTTGCCTCACTAACCTTTCTTGTCCGATCTGTTGCTGCTCATGCCTTCCCTCTAATTCCCACCCACCACGCCATGTATTCTATCATTGACAACCACACACCTCTCAATCTGAACCTATTAACCCTACACGAATTCTCCATAGAGATGCCGAGGCTAGCAGCATCGTTTCTGTCTCGAGTACATTAGAGATGTCTCGGCTGGCCATCTCACCTTTGCCATTGCCTCGTTTGCTACCTCTTCTCTACCGAACTCGACTGAAATGATTTCCCAAGGATTAGCAAACATGAGAAAATTAATGTACTTCCCCAAATGGACCACATAAAGTACCTTCACAAAATACTCAAATCAAACAAAGTACATAAGCACAACACACATATAATCTCATTGTTCTCCTTAGACATGAAATCCTATGGGGACATGTATGTCTCACTTGAATCTAGTTAGTCAATTGAGGGTGACCACCTCCCGGTCCTGCGGGGCAAACTCCCTCGAGGCCATCTGCACCACATCGATGTCATCAGGGTCGTTACCGCTACCACTACCTCCAGCAGGGTTGCTCGGACCAGCCACGTCCATGCCGTAGTAGTAGGACCAATTGCCAGCTCCACCACCCATGTTGCCAAGTTGGTTATTGGCAAAGGAATGACGGTGCATCTCTGCCACCGCCTTCAGGTTGCTTGCCGGGAGGGTATGTTGTCCGGTGAACACGGACATGCTCATGCTCCCATCGGGAACCTGTTGGATGTCTTGCTCACAAACCATCTGCGCCGGCGACAAACCGTAGGACAGGTGGTGGTTTAGGTGCCCGTTGGGAGGGATGTAGTATGAGTACCCCTCGTTTTGCCCATCGGCGACATTCAAATCTGGCGCCCAATACTGCATGTTGGTCGGGTTTGGGTGGTAGTACATACCAGTCATGGCCGGATTGGGGTAGGTCTGGTGCGCCTGCATGGTAGGGGTGATGATGACAGCAGTGTCTCTGTCGGCCATCCCCATCCGCCCATCGTGCTCTTGATCATGATACAACGGTGACACCGGAGGTGTCTCCGTGGGTGATCCGGTGTGTGGCTCCAGGCTACGGATGTACTTCGCAAGACGGGAGAGCTGGCCAGGTGGTGGCTGCTCGCTGTTCCTCTTCTTGAGTTGGCGCTTCGAGTTCAGACTACGCTTGGTGGCATTGTAGTGGTTCTTGATGGTGTTCGCCGGCCGGCCAGAGAGTAGCCGGGCGATCACCGACCAATGGTTCCCCCAGGTCTGATGCAACTCAATCAGCTTCATGTCTTCCGCATCGGTCCAGATTTTCGTCTGCAAGGGAAGTATTCATGAGTTATTTTTGGCATAACATTCTATTGAAGTACAACTGAACACACCACAACACATCGAAAGTAGTATCTACTACCTTTACTTTTTAACACAACACAACACTCATGTGCACAGAAGCATTATTTAATTAGATGTCAGTCGAGAGTCATTTTTCTACCATGCATGGAAATGCCGTGCATGCATCCACCGTTCATCATTGCTTTTAGATTTATCTTACCTTTTTTGGTTGTTGGCAAAATTTGTGTTGTTTAAGAGTACCAAAATTTTATTAAAATATTTATCTTGTTTCTAATGCTTAGCCCCCACAATAGCCCAAAGAGGCATCTCATCTTGGATGAGGCGAGCAATGACTGCCATCGGCATCACTTTATTTTGAAAGACATATGTGTTCCTTTCCTTCAAAATCTCCCATCGAACATGAAGGAGCAAAGAATATAGAGATTTCCTCGGTTGCAAATTATTTAGGAGGACTTCTTTCCACCAAGACCACGTCATTTCAAAATGATGACAAAGCATCATACTAGCATGACGACCAAGATAAGAGATCATGTCATTCCAGACTTGAGGCAAGAACCGACACTTGATGACGAGGCGAGCAACTAATTCTTGCACTTGGTTGCAAAGAGGGCACCAGACGCAATTTGGTCACTCTCAAAATTGCAACCTCTGTTGTTCAGTCCTATTTTTGATGGATAACCAAGCAAAGAACTTACATTTTAGGATGCCCAAACCTTCCAAGTTGTGGAATGCAAGTTGGATCAGATGAGGCCGATGAACTGAGCCTTGTAAGCCTAGGAGGTGGTATAATTCCCATCGTTGGTCAGCTTTCTCATGGTTGTATCTTGAATGTCTGGTTGGATGACGACATGAATTGGCAAGTTTGTCTTACAGAATGACGAATTATTGGATGTGCTCTAGCTTGAGGCCTCCTTGACTATTAGTCTGTAGAACCCAAAACATATCTCTTAAAACCTTGTCCATAATGCCACCTTTCTTGTGGGATTTTTCTTTTAAAATGGTGCGATATCTTTATGCATCAGTCCCTCCAGCCATGATGACTCCCAAAATTTGGCTTTAGTTTTTTCACCATTCATACCTAAGTGGCCGCCACTAATAGATCACTTCATCATTGTTGCATGACATCCCCATACCGCACCTCACCCTCTGTGGGTCATCCTAGTCAAGCAGTAACCATAGTAAGTGAAGCACGATGGCAAACTTCCAAGATTAAGAATTTTTGGGCCAACAAACTCCCCCACCTTGCAAAGTTGCTCCCAGTTAACTTTGCACTTGCCTCCAATATAAGACAAACTTCTTAAAAACCTCCATGAGGAGGTCAAATAGTGTAAGATGGTGTATGGCCACAACCGTGAGAAGTGCCTTGACCAAGACCATGCAAGCTGCGGTATCAAAATATTTCCCTCTCCAAGGTGCTAAATTCCCAGTTTCTCAATATTCAAAGTGTTGAAAGCGGACCATCCTTAATATTTTGACCATGAGGGATAGTGCAAGGTAACATATGGGGAAGGATCAGAACCATGCCAGGAAAGACTAGAGTATGTCATCAAGGTTGATGTTATTGCACCAGATAGGCGCAACATGGATCTTTCTACAATTTGTAACAAGGCTAATAGTATATCCAGAAGAGGCAACCATGGTGGTGAGGAATTAGACTTCTTGCTTGATAGGGGAACATAAAACAACCACATCATCAAGGTAAAGGGAACCATGAATGCTCGTGTGACGCCCACCAAGAGGATGGGGTTTTCCTTAGGTCATATAACTGCTAAATATATGGTGCAACAGGTCAATGGAGAGCTCAAAGAGCAAATGGGACAGTGCACCCCTAAAAATGCCCACAACCATGCTTGATCTGGTCCTCGGCAATCCCATTGAGCAAAACTCGCAAAGAAGTCAAGGAGGGGAGGGTCAAGATTCATCCCCAGATGTGGCCTTGGAAGCCATGGTGACTAAACATTTATGTAAAATGTCCCCACCTAAAGGAATCAAAGGCCTTCTTTACGTTGAGCTTGAAGAGGAGCAAGTGTGTCTTGATGTGGTAAAAATCTTCTAGCCACATTGGGCACATAAATGAAGTTATCATGGATGCTTCTCCTCTTAATGAAAGCAATTTGTGCAATGGAAACAATATCATTCATGTGCAGAGCCAACCTCATGCAAAGAGTTTTGCCAATGAGCTTGGCCACGCCATGCATAAGGCTAATAAGCCCAAAATACTCATTTAGTGAACAAGGGATCATGTTGTGGGAACCAAGCCACAAATCTCGAGGATCGCAGGTCTTAAAGAGGGAGATGTAACACTTGTTACTTTCACCTGAGGATCAATGGGCAGAGGAGGAAAAATCTTATATAATGTCTCAAACATGGGAGTGACTGGGTGATGGATCATGAATGCATCATTAGGTGAACCAAGGGATCAGGTTGTCCCCGTGATGTACTCACTCGTCGGGGATGGCATCGCATGGCCACCTTTGCCACAATGCTCCATCAAAGCATCCTCCATACTATATTCATTCACCAGGTGGTTCATCCAAAAATCTGAATTGTTGACGAGAGACGGGCAATATATTTCAACACTTCCCCTCACGTCTAGGCTATTTTAGTCCTTAGGCGTGGGATCGATGTACGGCGTAGAGTCTTTACTAATACTGCATTAGTAGGGTCTTGAACTTGAGACCTCTTGGAATGGATACCATATTGAACTCATGCTCCACCAGCACATCCAAAAAACCGAACTGGTTGAGAGAGATGGGCAATATATTTCTACACTCCACAATCATCGTCAAATCTTAGTCTAGTTTGAAAAGCGTCTGGAGTGCGACGCTATGTCTGGTAGCCTCTCCTAGAATAGAGCCACAAAGATTTAGTCTCTTCCTCATTGACTTGTTTAACCTCACCAATGACTCCTATCCATTGGTAGAGAAGCCTCTGCAGGAGCTGGGCGATGGGAATGACCCTGTTCTTGGCATGCAAGCATGGGCTATGCCGACTTTTCGAAGTCGGTGAACTTCACGAGTGTCTGCCTCCTTGTTGTGGGTGACTAGGGTGGAGTGGAGCTAGGAGCAGGGAGAATGGGTGGCAACACTAACACAAAAAGTGGTGTGCGGGGCAAGGGCCCTGCCAGGAGCGCAACTAGCATGCAAAGCATCCAATCGTGATCATTGGATTGTTGTCCAAGAGCACTAGGAATTCCGCGAAGCGAGGTATGAAGATGGGATGCGGTTCTTCATCATGCCCAAAGAGGAACGGGGGGGGGTCAGTGCATGGGTTTATGCATGCACAACTCATCATAGGACTCATGGTAGTGAGTAGGGCGCTTGGTGCATGGGCTGGTGGCGTGCAAATCTCCCTCAGCAAAGGAGGCCGCACTTGCATATCAAAATATGGTCCGCCTTGCGCAGTCAGTTTGGTCTGGAGGGAGTGGAGCGGAGCTCAATTTTGTCGCAGTCCACACATATCTCAAATGCTAACCCGAGAGCAGGAGCATCTACTCATATTCACCAAATTCAGGAAAACCATAGTAAATAAAAAGCAGCAATTTCACAAATAAACACCATCAAATTTTTGGAACATGTGTATCATCCGACTATCAACATGTGACTTATTTTATCTATATGATTGAACTAATAAAAGTACCACATCTCAAATGCAATTTGTGTGCTGGAATGACTCTTACTTTAGGGAATACCCAATTGTGGCAAGCCGCAAATATGCAGCAGCAATAATTTGACAAATAATCAAGACAAAAAAATTGGTAATCTTATCTCTATCCAGGGAACATTCCTGGGGACGAAATCCCAGCAAATGCCCCACAGACCATAGGATCAAGATCTGATGGTGGCAGTTTTCTTTCATGAAGATGCACTAAAAATAAAAAATGACATGCTTTTTGTTGTTGTCAAAAATACCATCCCCAAACACTAAAACTGCCAGCTCCGCCATTTGCAAATGCCATCCTAGACAGCGAACGGTAGCTGGCTATTGTGGTCCAAATTCAGTAATGTTCGGGCGATCACTTAGTGGCCAAGAATTTTAAAAATTAGGACACACTATGTCAATTAGCAAATTTGGATATTTGTAAAAGTGCAAGTGTGATTTTTTATTTATGGATTGAACACAAAATTCACATACACATTTCAAATGCTAATGTGTGGGCAGGAACATCGGTCCCTTAATTTCCCAAAATTAGTTTTAGTGGTCTAAATGAAGAAAGTAATTACCACATTCACAGAGTAGACTAAATACATGCAATACTACTAACTATTTTTCGGGAGTTAATACCCACTTCCGAATGGTGACCAAACTATAGGTGCAAATCTTTGGATGTATAATCACATGATTCAACTAAAGAAAGTACGACATCTCAAATGCTAATTTGTAGGCTGGAACATCGACTCTTACTTTAGGAATAGCAAACTGTCGCAAGTCACAAATAGGTAGAAGCAATAACTTGACAAATAATCAAGATAATTTTTTAATTGGATTATCACTTAGAGGCCAATAATATCTTCTCTTCTCTACTACTTAAAAAGAACCTAATGTTCACATTTCACCCTCTCCTTTGTGAAACCTCTCTCTATATATAGTTCCCCCTTCCGTTCTCCTATATGATTTTTCTCTCAGATAATAACATATTTTGGCAAGTCAATAAATTTTTACCAAATGAGTGATTAACAATAAGATGATCTTTTGACTCCCATCTCTGATCTTTCTCCTAAATAATATTTTCTTTGGTAATTCTATAAATTCTTACCAAATAAGTGCTTAACAATAAGATGACAGGTAAATCATGATAATTGCATAAAAAACTTCCTAAGATTATAATAATAGATGTGCAATCACGGGCTAATCTACGAGAATGTTTATACTCCCATTGCAATGCATGGGCAATTATCTAGTTTAATAAAAAATGAGACACAATGTCAATTACTCCCTTCGTTCACAAATATAAGATGTTCTAACTTTTTTTTTGAATTGTATGTATATAGATTTGTTTTAGCGTGTTTGTTCACTTATTCAATCATTGTAGTGCATATTGAAACATCTAAAACATCTTATATTTGTAAATGAAGGGAGTAGTAAATTTGGATATTTCCACGTGCAAGTGAGATTTTATTTATCTACGGATTGAACACAGAATCCTTGTACAAGTTTCAAATGCTAATGTGTGGGCAGGAACATCAATCCCATTAATTTAGAAAATCACTTCCCTACAAATTTCTTTCTTCAAAAAAAATACTTGGGTGATCATTTAGTAGCCTAAATGAAGAAATTAATTGCCACATTTACTGATTAGACTAAAGACATGCAAGACTACTAACTATTTATCCGGGATTTAATACCCACTTCCAAATGGTGACGAATCAGATTAACGCAATGAATAATTTCTTTCGTAAGCACACTTGATCATAGATCATCAAAATTCCCCAGACCAAGCTGCTAAAAAGGACTAGGGAGTTAAGAAATTTAGATCTTGCGAGATCACCTTAATGTTGGGGTCAAGTTGGTTGGTCCATCTCTCCCGACACTGCTTTCCGCTCCGGCCAGGGAGGTACATCGCGATATTCTTCCAATTCCCTATGCCGAACTCATGCACCTTCGCCCTCAGCAGCCTGCAAAAAAATCACAAAGAAAACTGATGATGTTGTAGCTAATGAAGGTCAAAGAAAAAGGTTTACAATTAGGGTTGGATTTTCTACATACGTGTCTTCCTCCACGGTCCATGACCCTTTGAACTGTCTCAGCCGCTGATCGCTGGATCTGGCACATAACGGCCCCCGAGCAGGCGCCGCGATTGCCATAGGGGCGTCGCTGCTCCCGTAGCCAGGGAAGCTGGTGGGATCCATCTCGTTGATGCCACCAAAAGCTCTTGATCTGGCTCCCGGGGTGATGACCACCCCGGCTGGAGCACCACCATCATTATGGACGAAGTGTTGTCCAATACCGCCATGCCCGGAGCTCGTGTAGTGGTTCTCGGCCGCCGAGGCCGCCACATCCCAGTCGAAACAGGCACTCCATTCAGCCATCAATGCGGCCTCCAAGGTCGGATCAGAGCAATGGCAGCAGGATCACTTGCGGTAGAGATGGGGCAAGCAAAGCAAGAAGAAGGGGAGTAGTCTTTGGCTCTTCTTCGGGAGAAATGCCTGTGTGAGAGACGGGTCGATGGGTCTACGCCTGATATAGAAGGGGACGACGCCCATACCCCCATCGGCCCGTCGATTCTCCGCCCCCAGCTCCTCATCACGCGAGCAGGAGGCGTCCCACATGGCAATAACGTTCCGACTACAGGTTTTCAAGTTTGTTGTAGACCCTATGCACTGGGCGTATGCAGTCTGTGGAGAGGTTTGCGTGGTCTAGGATGGGTCATACATGTTAGTACAGATATGCGAAGCGCAGCACCCGTGCCCGTATGGAGGTATGCACGCAAATTCAGGGAAAACGGCAACGCTTGTTGGTGTGCTTCGTGATCATTTGCAGCTAAGCAGATACCTTGTTTGGATATAGCGTGATAAATGTTTCCTAAAATCTTGAAAGTGCCCACGCAATTTCTGGTTGAAACAAGCGGCCGGATGCTCGCCGCTCGATCAAACGCGGCCCGGCCCGCAACAGTGCACACGTGATTTTATCGCAACCGTAGCGGACGCGTTAGGAGACAAACAGCCCAATCGATTCTTTTTTTTTCATGGTAATATGCGTCTCATTCACATCATCTACTATATCTAAATAGGGGATCCCCAATTCAAAATAAATAAATAAATAAGGGATCCCCACTTACCTTATTTCTCTTCATCCACAGCGAGCCACGTCATCTGAATTATTCTAGCCGTTGATCCAGTATAGCATAGCAATCTACAGGCGTCCGATCAGGAGGTGATGAAATTTACGGGGGGCTGCCACCGCTAAGTGGAAAATAACGTTTCGTGTGTCCTTTTTTTAGGGCTGTTTCGTGTGTCCTGTGTGCGCTGAACTATCCGAGCCAGGCTTTCGTAGGTGGGCTGGGCTTTTTGATTGTTGGTGGGGATTAGGACCCGTTCTTAGCCCATTCCACGTTGCATTCCTTATGCTGCCCCGTCCAGCCGCCGCCACGACCGGTGCTCCCTGCCCAATCCCAAGACCAGCCGTCGGCTCCGCTCCGCGGCCAGCCGCCGCCACGCTGGTCGCTTCCAAGCCAGTCTCCCGGTTAGCCGCCGCCACGCCCGACGCTCTGCCGGCCAGCCGCCGTCGCCGCGACCGACGCTCCTCCGCCGGTTGCCGGTGCCACGAACTGACGTACAGTACCATATTTTGATTGATTTAACACATGCTCCTGCAAATCTGAATCCCCGTTGGATAGAGTGAAAACATGCAGGTCTTGAGATTCCGTCATATCTCGTTTAGACTTGCGGTTGGCTAATTCTTCAGATTCTCCATGTTGAAGTCCCCCTGTAATACAATTTACTTATTCATCTATTAACTTCAGATTGTCTAAGCATCCGTCAGATTGGTAAAAGATGCCAAGTGGACTTTTTGATTTTCAGGGTCTTGCTTGCTGGCAAGCACATCAATTATTTGCTAAAATGTCATGCTAAAAAAGGTGGGTGAAGTTTTTACACAGGCTGTTTGTTAAGGATAAATACTTCAACCTTTCAACCAATTCTACAGAGACAAGTAATTTCCAGATATATTTAAACTTGGAATTATAAGTTGGCATGTTTATTTATATCAACATGTGTTCCTCTTTTTCATGGGTAATCATATTAACGTGTTCAACACATAGACTAGATTTTTGTCAACCGTTTCAGTTTATTGTTTGTTTCTTTTATTGTCACATGTTACTATGTTAGTGTGACAACGGTTCTCTACTTCATTGTCATATAGGATTCCTTCCGCTTGAATTGTGGTGTCCACAACTATCCTGCAAAATTTGGTACGTATGCTGCCTATCGATTTGCTACCCAAATTTGAAAAGCTGTATGTCCTTGGTAACAACTTATTACACACACCATTTATATCTTTTGTATCCACTGACATCTTTGTCACTAATGCCACCTATTATTTTCTTTATATCAAGGAATCAACAACATATGCATGGAAATATTCACAGTATATGCTGATGTACATCAAATTTCTCCTTCGTCCATGGTGTTGTAAATCAAGAAAAGAAATATTCATGCAGCCATATCAACAGCCAACTGCCCCTTCTCAAATCATGTTGTATTTATTGACTTCTCACATTTTAAGTCCATTTTCTGGAAGTTAACAATTTTCATATTAGTTTTATGCCTGGAGCAAGTCGAGTCGATTCTCTAATCATAACATGCATATTTCATGTCTTTCAGGTACTGTGACACTAGCTTTATGATGGGGATATGAAGTCCGCATCCAGAATTGACTAAATTTCATAGTCGAAGGTATGGTTGTTGATTGATGTTTTGCTTACACACGCAAATGCATGTGAAGATATTTTCTCCCATCAATAATGATATTTCTCACCTGAAAAAAAAAAACAATGATACTTATGAGAGTATCTTTTTCTATCATAGAAAAAGAGGGCGATGGTTGGCAAGAATGATAATAGTGCGGACTGAGTTAAGAGGGACTTGATCAGTATGAGAAAAACTATTTCTTGCATGTTGCTTTGGTAATATTTTGTTTGGGCATATAGTGAGCCCACTTAAGAAATCAGATTATGTACTAACAATATGTGTATTGTTCTCTTGCTTGCATGTTCAGTTTCGCTTTATTGGCTCCAAATTTGTTTTCCAGATGAATACCTTATTTAAGATAACGTGTGGCAATTTTTTGAAGTTATCATGGACGATGTGTATTGAATGGTCGGAGAATATGTATGTAGTTAATGTTTTCCTTCTTGAAAGAAAATGAAATTTCGTTAACTATTTCTTTGCACTTTGTATACACCATTTCGTTACATGCTTCATGTTTTTAATTTTTTAAATGAATAAATTGAGGAAACTTTACATTTGCTTTGCATTGATTTTATTTGATTTTGTAGCAGCTATTTATACATTTATTTAGCAAGATTACCGCAGCAACGCGCGGGGTATTATCTAGTAGAGATCAAAATACATGTCATGTAAGGATCGATAAGACAAAACTAAATGATAGTGAACTTGACATCAACGCCCGTCACCTACCTCCGGCATCACCCAACAGCCATCGAAGAAAAGAATGACAGTTCACCTCCTCACCCGAGCTCGACGCAGCTCCATCGCTGAATATGCAGCTTTGCGGGCCTTCAAGGTGGCTCACTAATAGTGAAACCCTTACCGTTGAATGAATCAGACCGGAGCAAACATCCTGGACACGCCATCAAACTCTAGATCTGGCACCCCACCATGACTAATATGCCGAAGGAGAAAACCATATCCACCATCCACGAACCACAAACTCAACACACGTTATGTATACTAGACGTCCTCGATTCAGACGACAATCTGCATCCCAATCCATTTGCTTCGTTCGTGTCTCTCCCGAAAGAATTTTCCTACGACTGGAACCCCATCCCAACCTCACGGACGCAGCGCGCCTCCCGCCGCCACCAGCCCCAGCGCACCGGCCATCGCGGGCCACACAGCCGGATACGACCTCCCATTGTCATCTTCCTCCCGGCCGGTGATCCCACGCATCTGAGGTCCTCTACACACTGCCACCCTGGTCCTGGTCCCTAGCGCCTCACTGCCCAAGGCCCTCTGTTGGCCTTCGCCCAGGGTTTCCACACGCCTCCTCCTGAGGTCGAGCAGGTGAGGCAGCTGGCGGCACTCCTCGATCTACGGATGGCTGTGTAGCTCACCTAGTCAGACTGCACATCTGCTTGCAGATCTTCTCAGTCTGCCTTTAAGTCTTCGAGCTTGATATGCATGTCCAGGGGGAGTTGTACACCCACACATTGAACTTCTGATTTCTTCTCGTTTCTCGACGAAGAAAATCACAGTCTTATTACTAGACTTTACAACTCATTTCTTTTGATAGTCAGGATACTGGGTGGGTTAATCGGGAGAGACTGTTTTTCTTCTGTTTTGTGCTGCCGTTGCTTAAGAGTAGCAGATTTGGGCCTGCCTCATTCTGATTTGCCGAGACGACGGCCAGACAGGTGCATGTTGTCATTATTTGGGTAGACTAGACCATTATGGCACGCATTGCCGTGCCCATCAATTTTGACAGTAAGATGGTAGGAGTTACAAAAAATACAAAGGGGCATGCATCGTGAGTTTTTAGTGCTTGAAATCATCCATTATTCTGAAGAAGACCATGGAAAGGAGCCAATGGACCAAATCCAGCCATTTAGAACAAGTGATATAACACCAAGAAATAAATTGGCTAACACAAAAGCGTAGGAAACATGACTTCTTTGGTATGTTCCACATCGATCTTTTGGAGAAAGTTCAACATAAGCTTAGGGATAATGATATACTTGGGAGTAGTAACTAATATAGCTATTCAACAACCAACTTTTGTTCATCATACGTTTCTTACTTACATATCTTAACTTCATCATGAACAAAAGGAGTAGTGTGCTAGCCCTGTCAAGACACTTTCGGGAATTCTGAACAAATTGTATCAAATACAAATTAGTATAAATCTAATTCTGAAATTTAAAGATTACACAGTAGCAATCATGTCCCCAAACTGCAACAACTTGTCATTAGCATATGTGTCAACCTACCAGAACAGTCTAAGAAGTTATACCACAAGAAATTTAAGTTAAATGGAAGGATGCGACCATAGTACTTCATGATACGTTCCAATTTGCCTCGAGGCAACTGTAAATCTGGTCAGTGACTGGAGCGTATGGACGTCGAGGAAGATATCAGTGAGTCTTTCCTCTATAATCTAACAAATGGCCATCATCATTACATCTAACATGCAGTCAAGAATATAGCCATGAATAAAAAAAAAATCAACCACACATGGTGTAGTCGAGTACGGAAGCACAATGATAACTTTTTTGCATAGATAACCTAAATACAAAATTTGCAAATTTGCAAACTTGAAAGACCATCCTAATATCTGAATATGAGCAGTTTAG